TCACAACGAGAATTCTATGAATATCTGTCGACATTCTTCCTAAGAACATCATCGATTGATTGTTTAATTAATATATATGATTTATTGTCTATAAGGTGTAACTATTGATGAGCGAACGTGTTTTTGAAGAGAATATTCGTATCCAAATCAGAAAAGTCAATTTTGTTTTTGCATTTCACCATGCATCCTAAAGACTTTTTGGTCAAAAATAAATGAACAGTTTTTTTTGTTTTCAATGTTTTTTCCATAATATAATCATAAAGAGTATGCATTAATACTAATGCAAAATATATGGCATGTGTCGTATTTTGCAACAGGAGGTGACACTCTAATACGGTCCGTTTACATGACATAGTTTATCGTAAATCTAGTCCATAATTAATGACCATATTTTCGCCTTATATACATTGTTTGCACTATACTTGATCAACGTAAAACACCATACATGCTGCAAGATGACCTACTCCAACTAACCAATGTCTCAAAAGTCTTCTGTAGTGATTGACTCTGGAACTACACATGATGCATACGGTTGAAAAGCTGAAGTTATAAAAGAAAAGTTGTCTGATCATTTTCTTGTTTTGACTAAAGTACCTCTATTAAATGGAGTAAACAAGACTTTCGTTAAAATAACTGAGAAAGAATCTCTATTTTCCTTAATAATTATATTGTGATAAAAGTTTTTGAATGAAATTCAATAGAACACAATCAACAGTTATAACAAAAGATAATCAAATACGTTTTCTACTGAATTAGATGGTCGTTATGGCATCACATTACTTAATTTAAGATATTTAGCACAACCAAAATTATTCTTGCTATTGATCTATTAGTTGTTGATTTATTTTATTCAGATTGAGAACAAACACATATTGGAAGAATTAATTTAGATGGAAATAATTTTAACAAAATTATTGATACTGATGTAGCTGGACCAGTAATTTTAACAAATGATGTTATTTATTTAATTTTTATATATTAAAAAAGTAAAGAATGAGTATTATAAATAATAAGCAAAATCTTTTTCTCAGTTTGCCGATTTCAGAAAATCATGGGTAGAATTTTCAAGTTCGACTGAATTATATGTTTGACGAGAGACCTATCCCAACTGATTAATGGCTTTCGAGGTTAGAACTATCTGTATTATGTAGATTCAAACGAGTATCAGATATCAGAAGTTCACACCCTTAGAGCTTACTGCTGAGGAAATATTGCAAATTTATAGTAGTTTTTAAATGTTGCTCTCAGAAACATCAGAAGAATTCATTTTAGAATTTCGACTCGAAACTTTATACAAAGATAAATCTTTTAGTTTGCTTCTATTCTGAAATGATGACACTCAATCTACTGTGATATATGTGAGATTTAAAAGACACGCTTTTATGATAGTTGTGTGTTAAGTAAACCACGGTTATCATGCCGTGATAATCGTTGCACTTACGTCACGGTCGTTAAAATAGCCGCACAACTACTTTTATTCACAATAAGTGATGTATATAAAACATGCATAAAATAATAATAATACCAAAAGAAAGTCAAGTTTTAGATTTATAAATCTTCTCGTTTTATTTTGAAAGATAAACCCGAAAGGTCTTTTTTTGAAAACATCTTTTGAGTTATAACTAAGTTGCTGATTATTCACTTGATATACTCTGTAATCGCCATGTTGTCTAGGAGTAGATATTTGAAAATCATCACAGATTAACAAATTCATATCTATTCTGCTCGTAATATCATGACATCGTGTAGCCATGAGTCTTTTCTTCGGTAGCATCAACACGCATCCAAACTTTCGTAAAATTTTTGAATACTTGAAAATATTTTAGTAGTCTCGATTGTGATTGTGATCAAAAATTCGAAAACCATTTTTCCTGGTGTTTCTGAGCGAAACATTTAAAAACTAATATAAAATTACAGTATCTTGATAGCAATAAGCTAAGATTACAAACTCTTTTCTGTATATTCAAAATTCATTTGAATTTACATTATGAACCTAGTCTCGACTCTAAGGTGATGTGTCAGTTGGAGCATTTCTCTTGTGGTTCAGATTCTGATCATTGTATAATTATTTACAAATACAATCGTTTATTAGGTAAATTCTATGAGGTTTATTTCATTTCAAAATTAATTCAATAATTCAAATACTTTATCCTATATAGATTCAGTAATTATAATTGTGATGAACTTAACATATCATTTCGTGGTCATGATTATGTTCTATATTCACTCAGTGTTGTACTTATTGATGATTATGTTATTTAATCTGATTTTACTAATTATTCATTTATTCGTCATCCATTACTACAACTACTAGAAAAAAAAAAGTCAATAATGGAGAATATTGAATTTTATTTTCTTTCTTCTAAGTTAAAGTTTCTAATCCATGTGAAATAAATAATGGTGATTATTCACATTTATATTTATTAACGGTAAATCAATCATATACATTCTTATATTCTGAACATTTCTCATTTATAAATAATGAAAATAATCAACATCTGTGTAGTTCACCAAATGAACGATATATTCCATAGGCAGTAAAATGTAGTGGATGTAAGTATTGATCCATTTTTTGTATACTTAAAAGAATTTTTTGTTTGTTTAGTTAATGATTGTGAAAATAGATTTGATAAACCAAGTACATGTCCACAACAACGATGTACATCAACACAATTTCAATGTCGAAATCAAAATTATACATCAATATCATATGTTTGTGATGGTGGGAGAAAATTTTTAGTTTTTTCTTTTTATACGAGTTTTTGTTTTTGCCTTGAAGATGAATGGATGATTGTAATGATAATTCAGGTGGAAATTTATTTTGAAGAAAAAATATATTTGAATATTTTAGAGGAAGAAAATTGTACATACCGTTGTATGCCAGGAACATTTCGTTGTAGTTGTATTTCTAGTTCATGTTTACCGATGGTTAGATTAGTTTTTAAACAAAAAACACATTATGAAATTTGTGGTGATAATAGTGATGAAAATTCAAATTAATGTCCGCTATTTAATGATGCAAATTATTTTCGATGATAAGTTTCAGCATTAATAGAATATTTGTTTATCATATAATGCGCAAAGAACGAGTTTGGTTATTGGATATGTTATTCAAATGTTTTTTTCTTTTCTTGGGATTTCCACCGCTTCCTTGTCGAGAGAAAAAGTTTGCAGGCTTGAGTCAACCTTTTGAAGTTTGGGTAACGCAAACGAATAAAGGATGCTTGAAACGTATCAAAATTTGACAGCAGATTTGTTCAAAAAAAATTTGACTCATTAATTATTATTGATATTTTATATTTATTCTTTATTCAGAAATTATTGAAATGATTGTCAAGATGGATCAGATGAAACTCCAGCAACATGTGGTAAGTAACTGAAACACATCATTTTTTTTTAATTTGTTTTTATTCGATTTATTTTTTCAGGCTATCGTGAATATAGTGAAGATGAATTTTGATGTTCTTATGATCAATATATTTCAGAACAATGGTTTGAAAATAATATTCAATAGAAATCGAAAATTTAC